CTGTGCCCCTTTAAGGAGTCCAGGGCCGGGAGGGGGGCAGACGAGTTTCCCTGGTGTTGGCCAGAGTGGCCACCAGGGAAACCTGGGGAGGGCTAGCCTCCCACTAGTTCGAATTAAGGGTCTACACAGCCCTTAATTCGAACTAGTAAATTCGAACTAGGCTTAATCCTCATGGAATGAGGATTACCTAGTTCGAACTAAGCGCTCCGTTAGTTCGAATTAAATTCGAACTAACGGAGCGCTAGTGTACCGCCTATGAAAGTTAGTTCGAAGTAGACATACCCTTAGAGACTACAGGCCTGTTATAGGCTATGGATCATGCTCCAATGCCACAATTCTTAATGCACAATTAAGTGCATTAAGAATGCATTTAAGTCTCTGACTTCACCCTTACGTTGATAAACCATAACTCTGCTTGTCAAAACCTCCCCTCCTGTCCCAACATATCCTGTACCTTTTAGTCCTACAGTATTTTTGTCTGATTTTGTTAGCAAGTGATTTTCAAGTGAGGTAAAATTTTGGGGTTTACAAGACCAGATTCTTGAGGAGGGGTACAGTAGTCTGGAAAGGAGGAGACACAGCGGTGTACAAGACTGACATCAACATGTATGACACCTTAGCCCAGGCTAACTGAAGTGCACACATTTAGGACAAAGACATATTAAAGGGCAGAATACGCAGTCTGTGGAGTAATACTATTCCGTGGGCTGAAGCTATGGACTACAGTGAGTCTTGTTTTTCCTTAGTAAAAATTATTACTCTTTGAACATCAGCTACCACTTGAATCTAGAATTTTGAATAGATCCTCACTCCCTAGGTCCCCTTTCAAACGACAGTATTAGTGCAGTGCTTCTCAAAGTGGGCCGTGGACTCGCATTGAGAAAACTGCTAACAGACCACTACACTTTGCCTAACTAAAGGCTCTGCAGTGGTGTGGCCCGGGCTGCAGCTCCCCTTGGCTGGAAATGGCACACTGGAGTCAATGGAAGCCACGAGGTTCTGTGGCCGTGGAGCTGCCTGTTAGCAGCTCTCTCAAAGTGAGCCCACGGCCCACTTTGAGAAACCCTGTATCAGTGGTGTAGTATCATGCCTACACATACAGAAGTGAATTTAAGACAGACTAAAAAAGGAGACTGAAAACCCCTACTACTAAGCCTTGAAAGGAGGGGGGGAAATGGGTATTGCACAACAAACCTTAAACATGCATCTTTCCAATTAAGTGACCTTGCTCTGCATGTAATAAGATGACACATGAAGTCAAAACAACGTGATTCAAAGTCAGGTAGCTTTGTTACATAAGCGAGCACACACTGAACAATTATTATTCCCTGTGTATCAAGAAAAAAATACACCAACCTTATCTTTTGACAGAGATTGGTTTTAGGGTTCAAACAGAACTTGCATTCTCCACATTGTGGGACGTACAGTGGGATGACTGTGTCACCTAGAGAACATAACGAGAGAAACATTGTATATGACTAACTATCTAAAGGACAGCGTGTCAGAATATACACACATTTGGTATGTGGTCAAATGTAACATGGTCAATACCGTGAAATGTTAATTGCGGCAATCATTCATGCAATCTTATTTGTCCATCTGAAATTTCCAAAGTGCTTACAAATATAGAATGACAAAGTACAGGTTTTGTAAAGTGAAGTGTATAAAAAACCTGATTCATCTGATGCCTGAATAATCAATTTCCATCTAAAGTTAAAAAAGAACACAAGGAACAAAGATATAAAACCTATCCTGAGAAACCAGCATATTTAGACAGCTGTTAGCTCTAATTGTTCAACTGATTAAAAACAACTGACACTTTTTTTAAACACAAACCAAATTCAAACAGTTTCTTCATACAGTATTACATAATAAACCTGTATCCAGGGGTGGGCAAAAGGGCCTCCGCGAGCTGGATCCGGCCCATCAAGCAGGTTGATCCAGCCCATGGAGGCCCTTCCACTCCCCCACTCCCCCACCCCCAGGCCATTTAAGGCCCAGGGGCAGAGGAAACACATAAAGTTTCCTCCACCCTGCCAGGAGCATGCGGCACTTAGAAGTTCCACGCACTCCTGGCAGGACGGGAGAAGACTTTGCACGCTCCCCACCCCCAAACCTGACTGGCCTGGGGGCAGGGGGAGCGTGCAAAGTCTCCTCCCACCGCCAGGGGCATGGGAGCCTTGTGGGGGGGTTCCCCCCAACCAATCATGGGCTGTAGGTGGGGAAGCAGGGAAGTATCCTGGCCCCACCCCTTCTGGTGCAGCCTGGGGCCATTTAAAAAATTTCTGAAGTGGCCCCTGGCAAAAAATTATTGCCCACCCCTGCTGTAAACTATTCTCTTCTGAACAGTAAACCAAGATCACAGTAGTTAGGCTAGTATTGGACCACCAGCATTGAGGAAAATTTTAGGCAGGCATAGCCCAACAGAAACATCACTGCAGCTCAATAACTCTGCTTTTCAGCGGACAAGTATGAGCAATTTATTTTAGTAAACCAAAAAAGCAGTCCTGTAGCACTTTAAAGACTTACAGGATGGTTTATTAGGTGATGAGCTTTCGTGGGGCAGACCCACTTCTTCAGTGGGTCTGCCCCACAAAAGCTCATCAGCTAATAAACTATCTTGTTAGTCTTTAAAGTGCTACATCTTTTTCTTCCTTTTGTTTTACCAGGCTCAGACTAACACAGCTACCTCTCTATTACTTTTCATAAAATATGTAGAGAAGTCAGTTAGGCATTTGATTTTATCATGATCAGACTAATACAGCTACCTCTCTGTGACAATTTATTTTAGTGAAGGAAGATTTCCAAAGAAATTAGAAAAGATTATTTTTGTGAAGAGCCAAATGTTTTCCTACCTGGTTTTACCTTAGTCACTCCTTCTCCAACACTCTCCACAATTCCTGCTCCTTCATGACCCAAAATCACTGGAAAACACCCCTCAGGATCAGCACCACTCAGTGTATAGGCATCCGTGTGACAGACAGCAGTGGCAACAACCTAAAGAAATATAATAATCAGAAATATCCTGCAGGTAAAAAAGGAGAATCTAAAGAGATAAATGGTATTAATGTGTTTCCTAAGTCAGCAATCCAAGACTAGTGCTAGGATGAATTCACTATTCTGAAAACTTATGTAGTAGTTTAACAAAAATGTTTTTAGCTCTGGCAACTCACAAGATATCTTGGACCTGAAAAAATAATCACATCGCTTTGATCTCTGCTTACATAAGAATGGCCATACTGGGTCAGACCAAAGGACCATCCAAGCCCAGTACCCTGTCTGCCAACAGTGGCCAATGCCAGGTATCCCAGAGGGAGTGAATCGAACAGTTAATGATCAAGTGATCTCTCTCCTGCCATCCATCTCCACCCTCTGAAAAACAGAGGCCAGGGACACCATTCCTTACCCATACTGGCTAACAGCCATTTATGGATTTAACCTCCATGAATTGTTTCTCATCCCTTCAGTTCTGACATGAAAATGGCAGCCACTGGCTGAAGATCTGCTAAAGCCAATGGTCTATGTCATCTGAAAACAACGTGCCACACCAGAGTTCAAATGGGATCAAGTCAATTTACAAGTGAAAAAAAATCACCTCATCCAGAGAGTCCATATGCTATCATAGGGCACCACATACATCCAATTTCATTTAAAGTCTGATAAATTATGACTTAAAATGGCTAGCACTGAATGACTCATACAATTTGAAAAATTAAAATAAATGAATGAAATCAGTTTTCCAGTGGGATAAAGCACGTATTCCTAGCTCAGATGGTTTAAAATTGCCATTGATTCCAGAGACTAGCAGTGATTTTTAGGCTTGCTCCCAAAGTAGGTGTTAGGCCTCTGACCAGCAGCAATTTCATTTTATGCCATCCCCAAAAACCAGACACAATCATTTTCTTTAGAGCCATACCTAGATTTAACAAGCAAACAGATAACACAAACACTATAAATTCAATATTTTTTCCTGCAAGGGCAAACAAATTATTCAGCTTTCTTATTTGGTCTCCCAAATAAACATTTGCTTAAATTACCTTAATACGGACTTCATGTACTTTTGGTGGTGCAACCTCCACCTCTTCTATAGAGAGAGGTTTACCTGCCTCCCAGGCAACAGCGGCCTTGCATTTAATAACCTAAATGAGAGAGAAGAACATAGTTACTGCACTGTTCGTTTATAACAATTCCTGCTCACTGGAGTGAACAAACAAGAAAAAGGCTACTAATTTTTGGAAATAATCCCAGATATGAAATTATGGGTCAGATCCTACTCACAACTTCCAATGACTTTAGAACAAAGGAACAGCTGCCCCTTCATTTGTTTTCAGGTACAGAAACAAGAATCGCCAAGATCTGGACTTTAAGTTTTATTTTAGAACTTTGAAGACAATATGCTGTAGCAAGATGTGTGTGTGGGAGGAGGGGGTGTCATATGAAAAAATTTAGATAATGTCAGTAACATTTTAAAATAAGCATTCAGCATGCATGTAAAGCACAAGATGTTTTTCTACAGCTAGTGCCAACAGTACATGCAATCGAGATTACAACGTTTGGAAAATGTTAAGACATTTGTATACGTAAGAGTGTGGAGCCTCATAAATGTCAGTCTGTTGCCCCACACCCAGCCCACTCCCATTGTGCCTTTCTGGGACAGATTATAGGCAGCCAGCACAGAGAATCTTTAAGCAATGCATAGGGGATGCACAGATATCCCATGTGAAGACTCAACAGAACTGCTCCTCATCAACACTCTGTGTAGGCTTCTGCATCGTGGATAAATTTCACCCTTATAACACAGTCCGTTTATTTATCTAGGTAGGGAAGCTCACTTTCTCAAGCAAGAAAGATAGAAACATTTTGAAGAAAAACAGAACTTCAGTTCTGAAAAAAGCAACATTTTTTGAACCAATGCTTCCAGTAACAAGGTTGCACTTCCAGCCAACAAAGTCAGAAGGAATTATGTCCAGGCAACAAAGAGGAAAAAATGGGTCCTGTGAGAATGAGGACTGCTCTTAGATTTCTTTTTAAAAGTTTGATGAGCTTCATCTCCATTGTCTGAGGAGGTGTGGGAAAATCTTACATTGGTAGTACATTGGTCAACCTAACACTCCTTTTTAATCACACAAAGCAGCATATTTGTTAGAGAAATGCTATATATAATAGCTTGCCACAGAACATAGTTTGCCTATTATAATAAATTCTGAAGCTGCGTTTAAGGCCTTGTCTACACAGAAACTGACTAGCACAGCTAGAGCTATTGTTTTGTGAGCAGAGCATTCCAAAACTGAGTGCCAACATGGGGAAGCTATTGCAAAATAGTTACCTTATATTGGAAAAGTCACAGCAATAAATTTCCCACAAGTAGAAAAGGGTTTTGTTACTTCTTTCCCATCCTCTTTCACAAACATAAGGTTAGTTTATTCTGCATTATTGTCTGTATGCATATAATAAACATGATATATTAACTTGGTAAAGCAGCTGCATAGAAATCAACAAGTTGCACTGCTTTGCACTTGGGGAACAGTGACTAAACTCCTGAAAGTTTGCCAGGAAATCTAGTCAGTTTCCAGGGATCAAAGTACAAAAGGAATTGTCAATCTTTAAAAAACTTGGAAGTTTTCACTTAAGCCTTCCCCCCCTCCCCCCACTTTATAAAAATGTATTCATTCTCTCAAATTAAATGTGAACATTTAAGAGTAAATGTTTTCAAAATATGCAAGGATATTGGTTATTTAAATAAAGAGAAGGCTTAAAAGTTATAGAATAGACTTAGACCTTCTTAGTTGGCTGGGAACGTTCAGTGAACAAACATTTTAACTCTTAAATTTATGATAAAAGTAGACGCTCCTAGTTTTTCCCCACATACATATCTCTAAAAATAAAAAGCAAAAAAAGGTAAGACAATTCAACAGCTATGACAAGATGTTGCAGAAGGCTCATTCCAAGTACCTCTCGGTCTACAACAGGGGTGGACAATAATTTTTGATGGGGTGGCCACTCCAAGATTTTGATAAATGATCAAGGCCTACACTTTTCTATGGAGGGGACGAGGGGTCTGAGATGGAAGTTGGCTGCAGAAGGGAGCTTGGGGTAGGGAACTGGGGTGTAGGAGAGGGTGTGGGATCAGAGAGTTTGGGTGAAGGAGGGGGTTTGCAGCACAAGAAAGCCCCTCATCCCCAGTGTAGAGAGGGAGATGGAGCAGCCAGCCGTTTTGAACCCTGGGGCTGCTCCCTGTCTGCCGCTGGCTAGACCGAAAGGCTTGGGGGGCTGGATTCAGCCCCTGGGCCATAACTTTCCCACCCCTTTTCTACAACATGCTGTTGTACTCTATAAAGAAGGCTTGAAATAAGCAGTTACTGGTTATCCAGGCTCCTTGCAATATTAAAAAGTTAAATTAGGGTATCAAAGAGTTGTAGAAATTATTAGGCTGAAATTCAATTTTCTTTTGTTTTACTGAGATGTCTGAAAACATTTAAATAATACTATACTTTTCTTGTTCTTTAGTATGGATATTAGCATCAAAACAGTATCTTTGTTAACTCAAGCAAGCTAGCCCTCCAACACACACACACAATCATCTTCTATTTATGACATTACAGCTGAGCTTTGGATGTTAAACTGCAGTTATCTGACTAATTGTGTAGTGGACACAATTTGTATCCACTACACAATTAGCCGATGAGGACCACTGTGCAGAACTGCAGTGGGGATAGCTCCAGGAGCCAGCTCGAGCCGGGAATGAGAAGTCCTGGCTCATGCTTGGACTGGGGGCCACCCGAACTATGGCTCTGCATTTTAAATGTTGTAAGAGCCACCAGGCTCTTACATTTAAAATGCAGAGGTGTAGCATCTCAGACTAGCACAAACTGGGACTGCTCGGTCCCTGCCCGTGCTGAGTCCAGCAGCCCCTGCCCATGGCCAATCCTGGCTGCCACAAACAGAGGCTGCTCTGGCACCTCTCTGCAGTCTCTCCCTCCTTCTCTCCCCCCCCCCCCGCTCCCGCTGCCTCGGCTAGAAGCAGCAAGGGGGGTAGAGGAGCACCGCAGAGATAGTGCTGGAGGGAACTGGCTTTTAAGCCGGCTCCCTCCCCCCAGCACTGCATCCTGTCCCTCCGCTCCCCCCTTGCTACCTCTTATAGAGGCAGCAAGGGGGGGAGGAGCGAGTAGTCAATTATCCAGTTGACTACTCGCTAACTTACCTACAAGAGATTTTGCAAATGGCCAACTTATTGTCCCTGGGTGAACAGTGTTTGTTGATTTTATAGCTGTAGGAGAGACTGATATGCCAATCATTTCACAGCAACCACACAGGAGCAGAGGCAGAAGAGAGTAACAAGTTTCCCAAGTAATTATGTACCCAGCCTTCCAGACTGATGTATACATATTTATCGTGATCATAGTTCATTTTAGAGTGAAGAAAGTTGGGTATTTCCCCCTGATCTTATCTGTGCAAAGCTACTTTTCATTTTAGGCCTATGCTCCTGCAAACAGTATCTGCATAACTTTACGCACATGTGTAATCCAGGGCTACTCAACACACGGCCTGCAGGCTTCACTGTTTGCGGCCAGTGGTGCAGTTTGGGTTTATGCAGGGCTCAATGCTCGGCCTGTGGGTGGGATCCTTTGAACATGGCCTCCACTGGGAACATGCTCCACAACAGTGCGGTGTCTCCCACAGAGCGGGGAGGGTGTGAGCACTGAAACATGCAAGCGGACAGGCTGGCTGGAACAGACGGGTACAGGATATCGGTATTTCTAGCCGGGGCACTGTGGGAAGAGCTGGCTGCTTGGCTTTGTGGGGAGAGCCTGAGAGGTGCTGACTGGCTCACACTGGCCACGTTTGGGTCTGGCGCCGTGGCCGGGCAGCCCTGCCTCCATCCTGCATGAAGCAACCGACACCCATGTGGGATCCTGAGTCCTGCTGGGAATCCAGGACGGGGCTCCCAGGCACCTTTTTTGCCTCATGTCCAGCCTGACTTGCCCAGCTCCCCACTTCTTCAGATGACCGGAGTTATGAGTAGGGGATTTGAAAACTCAAAATAAATGGGGGGGAAGAGAATGATGCTCTTTCTTCCACCCCCCTTTCCTATTTTTTCTTTGAGTATCTGGAGAAGGGGTGCTAAACCTAAGCAGATAAAGATCAAAGTCAATAGATTGCTAAAACAGGAAGGATACCACTCAGAAATTATACGTTTTTCTTTTTAATAAGAAGCATTAAAAATGGAAACAAATAAGAGACACTTGTTGAACACAAGGTTTTCACTCCTGTTTGGGAGATGGAATTTGCATATATACCGTATTTTCCGGCATATAAAGCTACTGGGCGTATAAGACGACCCCCTAATTTTTTAGTTAAAAGATAGGTTTTCGTCTTATACCCCAGCGCCCCTCCGCCTTCCCAGCTTTGCTCCCAGTGTCCCTGGTCTGCTGGAGACGGTCCCCAGCAGACCAGGGACACCGGGAGCAAAGCCTCTGAGGACGCCCCAGCAGCGGGACAGCCCCGGCGCGCCTGGGCTGCCCCGCCGCCTGTATACCCGGCGTATAAGACGCCCCCCGATTTTTGGGGGATGTTTTTTAGCATAAAAAGTCGTCTTATATGCCGGAAAATATGGTAGTCATTTTATTCATTGAAATACATTGACAAGTTAACAGGACTATGCATGTATATCTGAGGATAGAATGTGCACCTAAAGGAAGTAGTCTAATTTAAAGAGGAGGCTTTGCAAAGCTGGGGAGGGGCTCGGAGCAGCCCAGGCGCGCCTGGGATGCCCCACCGCCTGTATACCCGGCGTATAAGACGACCCCCGATTTTTGGGGGATGTTTTTTAGCATCAAAAGTCGTCTTATACGCCGGAAAATAAGGTAATTGCATGTACATGCAACCACACATAAGTTGCCGGCCTGGAGATGTGCTGTATCACTGTGGCCCCGAGGGCTTCCAAAGTTGAGTAGCCCTGGTGTAATCTGTCAATTCAATGGGACGTTTCACCCCTAGGGGCTTAGATCATGAACTCTCTGGGAGAGGACATGGCTTTGTCCAGTACCACACAGTACTTAGCACCCCGCATCCCATTTGGGGTCTCTGGCAGACGCTGCACCGCAAAGCGTATGAAAAAGCAACAGTGCAATGAAGACGAGGCGACGGAGCCGGGGAACACCCTAGATGCCCAGCTTCCCCCTGCTTGCTCTAAAACCCCCCAGCGTGAGCAACCTCGAGGACTTGGCGAGCTCCAGCCCCAGCAGGCCGCCTGAGTGCGGGTCAGACAGGCGCTGGGGCCGCACCGGAGCAGCCCGCTGCGCTCCCTGCTCTGCAGCCCTCCCAGCCCCGGAGCTGCTCGAGCTTCCGCCCGCCCGGGAACGTCCCACGCCCGCGGGAGCCTCTTACCCCGCTCGCCATGGGCCCCGCCGCGCGTCCTCCACCTCCCAGCCCCGCCAGGCGCGCTCCGAAGGGGCCGCCCCGGTGCATGCGCGGTGCGGCGAGCACCGCCTCCGTAGGGCCGGCCGGGACACAGGCGAGCGAGGCGCCAGCCGGATGTTTGCTCGCGGTGGGGAGGCGGGTACGAAGGGCCACGTGCAATGCAAGCGCAGTGTCAGCAGGACCGGTGTGCTAAGGAGGAGGGGAAACGTGACACCCCCTCCTAATCTGCGCCCCGTTTGTCCCGGGCAGGGCGGCGTGGCTGGGACGGTGCCCCGCTGTGCATCAGCTACAGCTGGCTCCCACCGAGGCAACGCGCCCGCCCAGGGGCGTCTCCTGGCGGTCTGTGGCCAAGCGGGGGCCGCTCCGAAGAAATGGGGACTGGTCTCTCATGAAAGAGCCTCCAGCGTTGTACGCAGGGGAAGAGGGTCTGCGGGACACTGAACAACATGGACGTAAAAAAAATAGAGGTGCGGAGTCAGGTTGCCCCCCGCCTGGCGCATCTTACAGGCTATGCTCCCTGCAAAGCACTCCTGCTGCACGTACCGGGACCCTGTTGCAGCTAATAGGTTAATTGCCTTCAAGTGCATAGCGAATAAAAAATATCAAAGAGCACTGGCAGAGCACTTTCAGGCCATATGTCCCAGGAGTGGGATTGGACAGAAACAGCTGCCAGTCTTTCCTAAACATTTCTGCCCCCTCCCACATCTCATTCTTTTCGAGTCCCTAGTGTCTCTTGGTGACTTTAAAAAAGTTACAGTAAGAAACATTTTTATACTTTATGTATTTATTTTTCCTGTTGTTTTTTACTGAATTTAATGACTGGTTGCCTTTACTTGGGAGCAGGGAGATCCAGCAGGGTTGCTACCTATTGTGAATTTTACATCATTATCTTGCAACATTATTTTGTTTTTCAGAGTTGGTGCAGTGAGAAACGGGTTCTCTGCAATGTTCCCTCTAATCTTTTCCATCCATGCAGAGAATCAATTTTATGTGCACTGAAGCCTGTGCGAATGTCCAACACCAGAAACACAAAACCTAGCTGTGTGAGCTCTGCTAAATAGCTGGGTGGCATGTGAATTTCTCCTGAGGGGCAGCACAAGCTCACAGCTTACCAGAAATATTGTCATGGGCTGTGTCTACATTAGTGCGATCTTGCGCAAAAGCAATTGCTGCCTGTCTACACTGGCCGTGAGTTCTTGCACAAGAACACTGACGTTCTAATGCAGTGGTCCCCAACGTTGCATGGCTGCTGGGTGCCCGGGGGCAGAGCCGCTCACGGGCTGGGCATCCTGGGGCAGAGCCGCTCACACACCGTGCTTCCGGGGGCGGGGCCACCCACAAGCTATGCGCCCGGGGTTGGCACAGCACATGGGCCGTGCGGGCTGGGGCCACCCACGCATCCCGGGCCGGCCCTGCGCATGGGCCGCGCACCCAGGGAGGGGCCGTCCTGCGCCTGGAGCCAGCATCATGCATGTGCCGCACGCCGGGGGCGGGGCCAGCCCAGATGTTTCAGCGGGTGCACATAAATGCCCCGGCGGGCACCATGGCGCCCGTGGGCACCGTGTTCGGGACCACTGTTCTAATGTATGAAATCAGTGGTTCTTGCGCAAGAACTATGATGCTCCCGCTCAGGAATAAGCCTTCTTGCACAACTGTTCTTGCACAAGAGGCCAGTGTAGATAGACAACATGAATTTCTTATGCAAGAAAGCCCTATGGTTAAAATGGCTATCGGAGCTTTCTTGTGCAAGAGCATCTACACTGGCAAGGATGCGCTTGTGCAAAAGCACATCTCTTGTGCAAAGGCACATGCCAGTGTAGATGCTCTCTTCTGGAAGAGTTTTTGAACAAGAACTCTTCTGCAAAAGAGTTCTTGCACAAAATCATGCCAGTGCAGACATAGCCCAATGGTGTTTCCATGTGTCATCATTTGTATATCATGTGATTGTTTGTAACATTTTCACACTATTTAGATTGTCATGATATGATACAAACATGCTTTTGCATTACACCAGTTTTCATTCTTCCCCTGAATTAAGTCATAATCCCTATTTTGTGACATCCTAACTGATCCACACTCAATAATTATTTCATTCATATAATGCCTCGTCTAAACAGGTCCGAAAGAATACTACTCTATCTTATTTAAATTTCTCCTCAAGATTGTTTTTTATCCATGACTTCTACAAGAATGGAATTTTATATGATACAAGGGCCATAGGTGTAGTTGAGGTGTTCTTTTATTATTTTAATATATAAAATGCATATATTGCAAATATTTACCTCTTATAGAGACTTGCTGGGCTATTTAGTTAACATTAGATAAGCAGAGGATTCACCCTCTTGTCCCTTCTCTCCTTACACTTTGACACTCTGCTCTCCTTATTCTTGTGGAGGTGCTTTTTTGATTACCCAAATGCAGTACTAGATACACGAATATTTATATCAACCTTTCCTTCCAAGTTCTCTGTAAACACCACTGTCCTAAAGTAACTGAAAGTATTGAATTATTTTTAGATCCTGGACAGATCTTATGAATGTCCTGGGAAGACAGGATCCCCCCCGACTATGTTATTTTTCCCAACATACCTGTCCCAATAGCCCCTTTTGTCCATTTTGAACAAAAATTTCCAGGATCAGGCTAAATTTATTCAGGGTATTTTTTTTGTAGAACCACAAAGCCATATTATATCTGGCCATATACCTTTAAAGTGATAGAAATGTAGCCGTGTTAGTCTGGGGTAGTTGAAGCAAAATGCAGGAAAATGTAGCACTTTAAAGACTAACAAGATGGTTTATTAGATGATGAGCTTTCGTGGGCCAGACCCACTTCCTCAGATCAAATAGTGGAAGAAAGTAGTCACAACCATATATACCAAAGGATACAATTTAAAAAAATGAACAAATATGAAAAGGACAAATCACATTGCAGAACAGAAGGGGGATGCGGGGGGGTGGGAAGGGGGAGGAAGGAAGGTAAGTGTCTGTGAATTGCTGATATTAAAGGTAGGGAGAGTGGGATGTTTGTGAGTTAATGGTATTACAGGTGATAATTGGGGAAACTGTCTTGGTAATGGGTGAGAAAGTTCAAAGACTTGTTAAGTCCTTGTTGGTAAGTGTCGAATTTTAACATGAATGACAGTTCAGAGGATTCCCTTTCAAGTGCAGATGTAAAAGGTCTTTGTAGCAGAATGCAGGTGGCTAAGTCATTTAGAGAGTGTCCTTTCTGGTTAAAGTGGCAAGAAACTGTTTTCTCTTTGTGATCTTGTCTGATATCTGTTTTGTGGGCATTAATCCTTTGGCGAAGTGTCTGAGATGTTTGTCCAATGTACATAGCAGACGGACACTTTCGGCACACGATAGCATAGATTATATTTCTGGATGCGCAGGAATATGTGTTCTTGATCTTATAACTCACTTGGTTAGGTCCAATAATGGTATCAGCAGAATGAATATGTGGACAAAGCTGGCAACGGGGTTTGTTGCAAGGGAAGGTACCAGGGTTGGTATTAGTGTGGTATGTCCTGTGGTGGTTGGTAAGAATGATCTTGAGGTTAGGTGGTTGTCTGTAGGAGACTATGGGTCTGTCTCCCAGAGGCTCTTTGAGTATGGTATCCTGTTCCAATATAGGCTGTAGTTTATTGATAATGTGTTGGACAGGTTTAAGTTGGGGGTTGTAGGTGATGACAAGTGGTGTTCTATTGTTGGTTTTCTTGGGTCTGTCTTGAAGTAGATGGTTTCTAGGTATTCGTCTGGCTCTTTCAATTTGCTTTTTTATTTATCCGGGTGGGTAGTTGAGGTTTATAAATGCTTGGTAGAGATCCTGAAGCTTCTGGTCTCTGTCAGTGGGATTAGAGCAGATGCGGTTGTATCGAAGGGCTTGGCTATAGACGATGGATCGTGTGGTGTGTTCTGGATGGGAGCTGGATGCATGTAGGTAACTCTATGAGTCGGTGGGTTTTCTGTAGAGAGTGGTGTCTAATTTTCCATTGTTGATTTGTACAAAGAGGCTCTGGGAGACAGACCCATAGTCTCCTATAGACAACCACCTAACCTCAAGATGATTCTTACCAACCACCACTCCTATAGCAGTGTACTTTGTAGGAGAGAGGGGAGACCAATGTTTATGTAGCATTTTGAAAAATTAGAAGGTATCAATTTTATTTACTTATTTTTGTTGAGTAGAGATGGTTGAAAAATGAAAACCTATCTTCAAAATGAAAATAATTTTGAAATATTTAAGAAAGTACTAAATTGACCCACATTTCATTTTTTCCCACAATTTTTAATGGATTAAAAAAATGTTTTGTCAAAACATTTTTGAAAATGTTATTGGAATAGGTATTGAAATTTTTTATTTCAAAGGGAAAACTTTGGTTGTGATTTCAGTAATATGAAAGCAGAATAAATTCCCAAATGAATGGCCTGTGACAGTCAGATGTGCTGATCTCTTGATACAAGAAAGTAGAAGGTTTTAAAGTTTTGCGTAAGAGTTGCATGAAGCTGTGTTGCATATTGCTTTTCAGTATTTGTTAGAGGTGGAAATCAGTGCTTCCGGGATGATGTGTGATAGTGACAAGGAAAGCAAGAGTATTTCCCCATAACTTCTTATGTTGATGCTTTCAAGGTTTTGGATAGTTGGCAGATGTTATGATTCAACCTTAACTGCCCAGCCGAACACATTTTTGTTCTAATGTTTATATGGGTCTATTTTCTATTATTTGATACTCTATAAATTATACTTACTAATGCTATAATTTTTAGCATTAGTTTTTAGTTTTTTTAAAAAAACTCAGAAAAGGCTGGCTTGCCTCAGGTAAATTTTGGGACGTTAGTTCGAATTAACTTTGATAGGCGCTACACATACAAACCGCTAGTTCGAACTTAATTCGAACTAGCGGAGCGCTTAATTAGAACTAGGTAAACATCATTCTACGAGGACTAACGCCTAGTTCGAATTAAGCAGTTTGAATTAAGGGCTGTGTGGCCACTTAATTCGAACTAGTGGGAGGCTAGCCCTCCCCAGCTTTCCCTGGTGGCCACTCTGGGCACCACCAGGAAAACTCGTCTGTCCCCCTCCCGGCCCCGGAGCCCTTAAAGGGGCCCGGGCTGGCTACGGTGCCCGTGCCAGGTGCAAGCCTGCCAGCACCCAGCCAGCGGACCCTGCACCTGGTACGGCACGAACCAGCTACCCGCTGCCACCCAGCCCTCCGTCTCTTCCTGGGACCAGGCTGGCGGCTCCCCCGAGGCCGCCCCGGGCCCCCAAAAGCC